ATCTAAGTTTCACCCAGTTGCACCACTTCATCCTTTTACCCAGATCTTTCCTGCTGGGGCATCTCTCACTTCTTTCTCTCCTTGGGAGAACCACTCCTCCATCATCCGTTTTCCACTACTGGTGTGGAACATTGTATAGGCATACTTCATCAGAGTATAACTGATAATCCTTATACTTGCTTCTTGGTGCAGGAGGCAAAATGTTTTAATATGTGAGTTGAATGTAACATCGGCACACACATTGGCTTGCAGAGTCTCATGCGTTTTAATCATGCACTAGACAGACATCTCCTAGTGTGAGGCAGTGCATTCTTAAGTCTGTAGGATAATGCTGAACTCCTTTTATGTTTTTACTAAAAATAATAACTGTTCCCCAAGTCCTCAGCCATATATTTTTCTGCAGATTAGAAAAATCCTGTGGAAATACAAGGAAAAGTATAATTTAGTTAAAATCATTTCAGAGCTAGGCCAGTCTTTTGTTCTCACGTACTTCTTGAATAATTTTGAAAGAACAATATTTTAGTTTCATGTTAAAAAATGTGAAGAGTGTACAAAATTCTTTTCCTTTACTGTTGCAGGTACAGAAATGTGACGTGTGTGGTTTACACTGGTGATAGCGGTGTCACTGGAGAAGAAATAGTAGAAGGTGCTTTCAGAAGATTCAGTATTAAATTGACTCACCCTGTGAAGTTTGTGTTTCTAGAAAAACGCTACCTTGTGGAAGCTTCTCTTTACCCTCACTTCACTTTGCTGGGACAAAGTTTAGGATCAGTGTTTCTCGGCTGGGAAGCTTTGCTAAAGTGTGTTCCTGATATTTATATTGACTCAATGGGTTATGCCTTCACCCTTCCCCTCTTTAAATACTTAGGAGGTTGCCACACTGGATGCTACGTCCATTACCCCACTATCAGCACTGATATGCTCTCTGTCGTTAGGAATCAGGATACCAGATTTAACAACGCGGCTTTCATTACAAACAGCCCTCTTTTCAGCAGATTTAAACTTGTCTACTACTACTTCTTTGCTTTCCTGTATGGATTGGTTGGGTCCTGCAGTGATGTGATAATGGTTAATTCTTCTTGGACACTAAATCATATCCTTTCCCTCTGGAAAGCTGGGGCTTGCACTAGCATTGTGTATCCACCATGCGATGTTCAGACCTTCCTGGATATTCCACTGGCAGCGGAAAAGAGCACCTGTGAATATTCCATTGTTTCCATCGGCCAGTTCAGGCCTGAAAAAGATCATCCTTTGCAAATCAGAGCCTTCGCTAAATTGCTGAAAGAGAAGAGACTGGGACAGCAGCCATCCTTGAAACTTGTCTTAATTGGAGGGTGTCGTAACCAGCAAGATGAAGAGCGTGTAGATAACCTTAAAGGTCTTTGTGAAGAGCTGGGAGTTAGTAACAATGTGACATTCAGAATAAACATTCCCTTTGAGGAGCTAAAGAGACATCTGGCAGAGGCCACCATTGGCCTGCATACAATGTGGAATGAGCACTTTGGGATCGGTCAGTATCTTTCATCAATGTTCAGCCATTTATCCCAGCTGGGGACACAGTTGGGGAGGACTTCAGTTCATGATTAAGGCTTCTCAGTGTAGGTGTCTAAGTGTAGAGGCCTGTGTACCAAGCAGGTGTTCAGCTCCTGGGCTTGTCAGAGGCAGCCTAGCTGAAGTAAAGAATACAGGACGAATTCAGATGAGTAACCACTAGGTGCTACTGTAGCACAAGCTGAAGCCTGTAAATGTAGTAGATTCTTACTTATGGGCAAGCTCTAGGAGCCTGATCATGGAGTGAATCCCATCTGTGCTGCCCAAGATGTCCTGCCTCACCTGCAGCTATCAGTCTGCGAAGTCACAGGTCACCCTCTGGTCCTGTGTTAGGTTTGTCAGACTTCTGTACCCAGCAGAGCCTCAAAAGGCAGTGGGTGCTTCTGTTCTACCACCTTAGATTGTGCCCTGTTAGCTCCACTGTCTTCAGGGAGAGCTTAGACACAGTTCACATGCAGACATACATCCATGTGTGGAGATTTTGATTGTGTTTCACCTGCCTCAACTGCCATATGAAATGCCTAATTTATGTCATGGAGCTCTAGCTGCTGTTTCAGAGCTGTGAGTCTCCCATATATCCTGTCTTTTATTTGTAAGCCCCATATAGATGCCACCATTTAGCCTTGGTTATCTCATTGCACTAGGCACCTGTGCTAAGGTAGATAAATAAAGTCCTTAAATCAGTCACTGTAGCATGAAGCAGAACACCAAAGAGGAGCTGGCACATCGTTTACAGTATGCTGTCTTACAGCACAAAGGTATTGGGCTCAGTTTTTTGGGATTAGTTGAGTCCTGACCTTGAAAGGGAATGCAGGATTGCCCGTCTGCCATAAATCTACAAGAGGGGAAGTTAGCAAACTAGCAGCTGGATACTATACTTGCCTATAGTATGACTAAACTGCAGTTAATGTCACCAGACTTTATGAGTGCAAGTATCAGGAATAGCAGTTTATAGCAACTTGGTATAAAAAAATGCATTCTGAAGTGTCTCTTAGCAGCACCTCCAAAAAAATGGAAATAATGGTTTCTCATATTTCCCCCCAAAAACCATTTTAAGTAAATTTAAGAGTGTTAGAATCACACTGTGATTTTGCATTCCAGCATGATTTCACCTTCACTTCCAGTGGCTTTTTTCCTGTAAAAAACATGTTCTAAAACTTTGGGGCATTATTTATAGTTGGCGATTTTTCAGCTAGGGGAGACTTCTTAAAAATCAAACCAGACCTGGGAAGAACCAGCAACTAAAGTGATTTCTGAGGTCTGTTCTGGAACCATGGAGGAGAATTGAAGTTGACATGTACATTACACACTATTCCAATCCCACTGCATTTGGCTGAGGAAAACTTGCTGTCAGATTTCCATTTCATTAACACTTCTTCCATCAGAAATAGAGATTTTTACAAATGTAACGTCTTTTACGAGTTTGTTGTGCTGAGTTGTCAAAAGCTATAAAGTTTTGTTAATCTGCAAAATACTGAACTTCCAAGTGTCATCCGATTGAGATGCGCAGTCAGCTTTTCTCTCAGTATCTCTCTAAGTGCTAAAGTTCTTTAGTGTGAATGAGATGATGAATACAGTTATGATCAGCTCTGATTTTTAATTGTTTTTTTGCAGCTGCCACCATGCCATGAAGTTAAAACAACAATCACCAATTAAAGCCACTGCCACCAGTGTTGCAGCATTCTGTCACAGCAGGACAGAACTATGCAGGGTTCAGCCACAGAGCTGCCTTCCATGTTTATCTTTACATTTGTTTCAATATCTAGCTTTTTTTCTTCCCCCCACTGTTTATACTGGTGATAAAATCTCTCTTGGGTGAGATGTTACAAGAACCACAACTTGACCAGTTATATCCGATTTCTAATTTTAGTTTTGTGTGCTTAAGAGAAACATGTTTCAGTCCTTAGGACTGAAAAACTTCAGTATGTGTTTGTTAGTTTTTTGTTATGAGACCACTGACTCTGTGTTTTTCAAATTGCTCTAGAACAGCACCCTACAGTAACTTACAATTCTGGGTGAATTTTATTGTGGTTTTATTGTGGTTTCCAGTGCCTTACAGAAAGGCAGAGTCCATGATATGCACATTCGTATCAGCATGTTCTGTGTCTTTTACAGGAGTTGTTGAATGTATGGCAGCTGGCACAGTTATCCTGGCTCACAACTCTGGAGGCCCCAAGTTAGATATTGTGGTACCCTTCGAAGGACACATAACAGGCTTCCTAGCAGAAAATGAGGACAGTTATGCTGAAAGGATGGCTCATATCCTCTCTTTGTCTCCTGAAAAAAGGTTAGAGATCAGAGAAAACGCCCGTCGCTCTGTGCACAGGTTTTCTGATCAGCATTTTGAAGAAACATTCCTGTTATCCGTGGAGCCACTATTTAAATAAATGTCTATGAATAAAACTGTGAGTAAAATTAACTTTTTATATTTGACTAGGCGTTACCTGTAAATATGTCTATGACCCCTTTGTCCCATTCAATAAAGAGACTTAGTTTTCTTTCTGTCAGAGTATCTGCTTTATGTAATAGAGATTTTTTTTTTCACTGGGAAGGAAATGCTCCTGGAAATTCTCTGTTGACTACATGACAGTATGGTGCACTGCAAAACCCGTTAAATTTCCTTGTAGTAAGACTACATCTCTTAAGTTCTCTTATTTACCGAATACTTGCAGTCTCCACTCATTTCATGACTCTTCTCCCATAAGTCACACTTTTTAAAGTCAGCACTCCTGTTTGATGGCTTTTGTATCTAGAAGACTCCTTTCCCAGAATCTGCAGCACATTTTCAATTTGCTGTCCCCCATTGTGTGGCAAAACTCTATTATGTGGGATTTTAATTGTGACTGTGGAGATTTCATTACCTACAGTGATTCCTTTAGGTTAATCATATGGTGGGTTTGCTAACTTGCTTTTTAATAAGTGGCCCTTCACGCTATGACACTTAATGGTATTTTACTCTGCTGAAAGGTTTGTTTTCTGTTCCTAGGGAACAGAATGATCTAGATTAGAGGGCATAATTAAATGCTACACAAACATGAATGTTAAAGCCCTAAGCTACTGTTTATTATAAAACTGAATGCTATGCAAAAAATGTTAAGAAATTGGACATCAGCTTTTGTATCAAAACATACAGCCCTTTTCTGAGCCATTGAAGCAGTATATTTTAGCAAACTAAGAAAAGCTTTGTCATCTCCCTGAGACTTGCACATATACCCTGCATTTTTCTTTCCCCTGGTGTAACTGCCTGATCACATGTTTCCTGTGTTGCATTATCTGCTTTTGGCTAGGAAGGCTCCACAGAGGGATCTGGACAGACCAGATCCATGGGCTGTGGCCAGTGGTTCAACAAGGCAAAGTGCTCCGTCCTGTACTTAGGCCACAACAACCCCATGCAATGCTTCAGGCTTGGGGAAGAGTGGCTGGAAAGCTGCTCAGTGGAAAAGGACCACTGAGCATGAGCAGCTTGTGCCCAGGCAGCCAAGAAGGCCAACAGCATCATGGCCTGTATCAGAAATAGTGTGGCCAGCAGGGCCAGGGCAGTGATTACCCCCCTCCCCAAAATGATTCTGCAATTCCATGAAAAAGCTACTGAAATTAGAATGTGGTTTTCCCTCTGTTTATGCTTTGTCCAGATTATATGAAATTTTGTATATGAAAAGATAAGGTCAGAAGAACCTACTGTCCCGTATTTTCTTAGGAACTGGGTAATGCACAAGTCTCAGGGTGCTAATAAACCCGTTAACTGCTACTGTATAAAACTGCTGAGCAGTTGCTGATACTTATGTACGGTCAGTACCATGTAAATGAAATTATGGATTACAAAGCTGTATTGGCAGTACATAGAGATTATGAAAAGCTGGAAGAGCTTCTTAAAATAAGTTGATTGAGCTGGGGAAATACAGTATACTGACTAGGAGACTTTCTTACATGATACAAAAATGGTTAAAGAGAGTATGCAATCAGGAATTTGCTCAAGCAAGTGTTGACAGAGATGTCCCAGGAAGTTTAGAACAGATGAAAACGCATTTTAGTCTGGAAGAGAATTTTTCAACATTTAGACACCCGAAAAGTAGCCTGATTTTTTTTTCCTTTTAAACAAATAGTAACAATCTTCTGTTAACTTTAATTGAGCATTTAGCACTGTTGAAAAGCAGCTGATTTACTTGGCATTTAATATCTGCTATCCTTAAATTTTGTCACTGATGTGGCTAAAATTTCAAGCAACTTTTGAAAGAGTAACAGTGCCAGTGTTCTAGGTAGCACTGGCTTCCTGCTTGCCTTTTTCATTATCTATGTCAACACTAAGTGACCCATGGTTATTTTCTAAATCATCATCATCAGATCCTCCAAGTCGTTTGAGAGGTAAACTCATCTTTTCTTCATCTGCTTGACCTTTATTTACTGAAAGAATGGAAGATTCCATGGTTCTCTCTGCTGGAGAAGTTGCCACTTTTTCCGGAGATTCCTGCAGCTCATGTCTGAGTTCATCTTCAGAATCTTCAAAATTCCTGTAAAGTAAACCAAGATACTTCTATGAATTCAATATATCTTTGTTACAAAGCTTTCTCCTTTTGAGGCCTTTCAGTTATCTTTTAAACACTTTATATAAAGACCCTACAAGCGACACACATAATGTGAACATTTCTTCTTTCTCTGTGAGATTGTTTACCTGTCTTTGTAAGATGGGAGAACAGGAGCTGCAAAGTCACATTAATACTTCTGCATAACATTTTTAATGACATCCTTGGCATGTGACATAATCATTTACAGAATTAAAAGTTAAATTAGCAGAGTCTGTAAAACAAGTAAGTTTTATTCATGTATGAAATTAAAACAACAGAAGAAAAGGCAATGGAATTTGTCATTTCATTAAAACTGTTCAGTTACATGAATTTTTCTTCTGATGAGCTTGACTTACGTGTCTTCATCATCTGATCTTGGCTGAAGTCGGCCTTCATCAATAGTAACAGCAGAGTATGGTTCTGAATCATCTTCCTTGTTTTCTTTCAGAGGCAACCTAGTTAACCTCCCTTCATTTGTGTACTGGCTACCTATAAAAGTGTATGTAAAGTAATAGCAAATAGGTAACTGCTTGAATGTTTTTGTTGTCCAAATCACAATAATGTAAATACCAGGCTTCTGTTATTCTTGATCACACCTTTTAGTTAGTGGTTTGTAACTTCTGCTTAGTGGAACCTGTTGTGTTTGGTAGACCATAACCATGGAACTATAAAAATTAAGTAAGAAAGGCAATCAGATGTTAGTATGTTTAGGTTCCCAACACAGGGATCTGCATTTTCAGTGGAAAACTTAGGGGAGTACTGCTTGGGAAAAACTGAAAAACACAGTTGAATGTAGTTATGGTTACCTAAAAATGCTCACTTTCAGAGACTGAAGGGCAACCCTACCCTGAAGATGGGACAACAATGCTAAGAGTCGTTTCAGTATAAAGACTAATTTCTGTGTGTGATCCAACAGAAATCTGTCAGTCTGGGTAACGTCAGCCTGAGTAGCAGGACAGAACTGGGTTTGAGAGAGCGCCATGTTTGAATAAATCTAACTGATAAAAGCAACAGCAATTAGAATACCTGTGTGACTTATTCTTGCTTTAGTCTTATGAACTGCTGACATTTGTGGAAAGTGGTTTGAATTTAATTTTGTTGGGGCATTTTAGTGTTTTTGTTTCGGTTTTTAATTTATAAGCAATTAAGCTAGTCTTAGGAGAGGAATTTAGTTGGCATGTTTAGCTGGTTTAGCCTTCAGGATGGTGCAGTTTTGTAAGAGCTTGTTATGCTATGAGAAAACGTATATGAGGCATAATTATCAGGAGAGTGCTAACTGCACAGTTGCAAATGAAAAAGGTATTTCTCACGATCCATTAAAATTGTTGAAACTTGGCATGTTTGGCTGCCTTAAAAGTCCCATCATGCAATTACACATTCAAGTAGATTGGCAACTATGCATAAAACCATAATGTCTGGTTACATTTACAGTGTCTTTCTGTGGAAAATACTCTAGGTTTTTTAGCTAACAACTTTGCTGCAAAGTAAATGTCATTTTTAAACCAATCTGTTACTTTGGGAAAGTGCATTGTAGTGTGAGTTCAAATCTATTTTAGTGTCAGCTGTATCAGCATGGACCACCTTGTAAAGTAAGACATCACTGTAGTTTCAGTCACCATGTACTACAGTTTACAGCTCTTCTACAGAAATACATGTATTTGTATAAATGTTTTTTACAGGCTTCTTCAACCTTAACAGTTGCAGGGGCTAGATCTAGGTTTGTGGTACCTGCCAACATGCCAGATGTAGTAGCTCACCTCTGTCTACCAAAGCAAATAAAAGAATTTCATATGAAAGTAATAACCAGTAAGTATGGCTTATCCTTTTCCCTGCTACTGAAAACAGTGACATCCTGAAAGAGGCCTTTCTCTTCTACAGGGCAGAGCAGTGGCTGCAGGGACAGGCTGCCTTTGTTCTTCTACTTAGCCAACTACTTCTCATCACAGACCATGTGCCAATGGTAGAAGAAATAACACAGTAAAGTAAAACTTGCAAAATTAACAGTAACAAACATCCTACCTGTTTCTTCTCCAAGGTGCATGAAGGAATCATTAGATAGCTCTGCTTTGACTAAGATGTTCAGGAGTGCCCCTGGTGGTGTTCGTTTCCATTGCTTCCTGTTTCGTGGGATGTTTTCAGGCATAACAGTGTGATCAGCTGAAGAACGGCAAGGTTCTCAGGTCACTAAAGCATGAATGTAGCTTGATGCTGTCTTCTGTCAGATTCACACTTTCTAGTTTTGACACTGATTTCTTCCCCTTGGGTAATGCTGAAACCTACGGTTTGGGGTTTTTTTAGCTTTATGGAATACTCCTGATTTTTTTATACGTATTTGATCTGATTAATACTGTAGAGAAAAAATAGTTGGGACTATTTAGCCCCAGAAAATTTTAACATCAGTTTTAATGTTCAAGTAACTGCTTATTAAGCCTGGAATAGACAGGCCTAAGTCATTGAGCAGTCCTTGCTCTCAAACTTGTTGGCTTCCTGAGGCTGAAAAAGCTTCTCTTTTGTCTAAGACAGAATGAACAAGAAGTGGCATATTAACAATAAGATGGGGAAATACTTTTTAGCAGGGCCTGTTACAATAGGACAAGGGGTAATGGTTTTCAACTAAATGAGGGGATATCCATTCTTCACAATAAGGGTGGTAAAATACTGGCACAGGTTGCCCAGAGAGGTGATGGATGCACCATCCCTGAAGACACTCAAGGCCAGGTTGGATGTGGTTCTGGGCAACCTTATCTAGATGTTCATTGCAGTGGGGTTGGACTAGATGACCTTTGAAGGTCCCTACCAGCCCAAACTATTCTATGACTAATATTCTGCTTTGTCTTCACTGTGCATGTAAACTCCTCAGATTATTTCTTGTGTATCTGGGGTTCTGGGAGTATGCTGAATGCTGGAAGAGCTCCTTGGTTTCAGCAAACAGTCACTGGAGATGCCTGGCTGCCTGAGGAGATATGCACTGGTACTGTAAGAAACCTGCCATCAGCCTCTTCTGAAATGGAGCATCCCCACAGTCTCAGCTGTGTGCTCACGCACTTGGGGCTGTGTGGCAACACTAGTTTAGAGTAGCAGTATTAGTAGGAGAGTGGGAAAACAGAACTCCATCACATCCTGGGACGGCGTTGGCAACTGACTGCCCTAGTTCTTGTGTGTCAACTCAAGGCCTGAGGAAGTTGCACAGACTGGCTTTTTTAGCTGCTGTTACCCAGCCCACTGAGTGATTCATTAAATTCAGACCTTTTAATATGTATGAGCAGCACAACATGATTGCGATATTAGACAGAGGGGAAAATGACAACTGCATTCTATGATTTAACACGTACAATAACCTCAGTTATTACGAAGTCCTGCAATTAAAAGCTTGCCAGATCATGTGAATATTCTGGTATAGATTTTTTTTGGGCAAGGTCTGCAAGTAGCCTGGCTGAATTTTAGCAGCTCCCTACTTTCACTGAAAACCAAAACTTTCTTACCAAGTTCAGTTTCAGCCGTAGCAGGTAATACAGATGTGACATCAGCATCAGCTAAAAAATTCAGTGGTGTCTGAGGGGCTCCAGCTTGCCAACGTTTTCTGTTTTCTTTCCTGTCATCTATGTCATTGTACTCTTACGGGAATTAAAAAAGGAGGCAAAGTTATTTCTTTTTAAATAGATTTAAGTATAATTATAATAGTGTGTCATACCAAGAAACAGCTCATCAGATAAACTTGCTGTTTATCTGATAAAGTCTATAGCTTAAGTTACTGAATTTACCTAACTTCTATATAATTTTTCAGGATACTCGTTGCATTCACCAAGGAATACCTGTTTGGTATGCAGAGAGTTCTTCCAAAGCTCTTTCCACATGATCCTCATAAACTTCCACCAAGTTCTCCTTAAGATTCTCACCATCCACAAAAGTTAAAGTCTCACCGAGTTTATTGGGTACCTGAAGAAACAATAAGTTACTATGGAAAGAGAAAATACATACAGTACATTAATCACTTCTCACTTTACTGTGCTTGCCAGCTATCCTCATGTATGCAGAGGAAATATGCGTAATAAAAAGTGAACCAGCAGAACTCAAAAGTCATGTCGTGATTTGTGTATCAGAAGGCTGCACGGGACTGAAGAGATGTGAAACCACAGAATGACAAAATAGTGCTTTAGAAATTAAGAATATACATACTAGAAAAAATTGTATTTTTGACGTTGCTATTACAAATACTTAAAAAATTTTAATACACTAATAAAAATCTTCATAGGCAGCTATTACATGTCAATCAGCCACAAATGTCATTTTAATAAATGAAATCCATAATGTCTGTGGTCTCACTTCCACGTTTTCTAAATATCATCTGGTTCATCACAATATTATTCTAGATTTGTGACACAGTACTAGTGAAAAGAAACAGAAGTATATTAAAACAATTTACAAATTAAATTTGGCATTTGCAGACTAACTCAATTTTGAGATGAATTCTTCCCCTAAAGGCCAGTTTACAAAATTTAAATATCTGCACTCCTTCATCTTTTACCATGTGAAAGATTGACCCAGATATCATACAATTTTCTTCTAAGCAGTTATCCTCTTGAGCAAGGTCAGATCTATGCAATATGTCAACAAATCCTCCATAGGAAGCTTCATTGTAATGAAAGCAGAGGATGAAAGTAATGGAAACAAAATCTAGAGCTACTGTTGTGGTTTCAGATTACTAATGTAAATCCTTTGAATATAACTACCTCTGCTTCTTGAACGCTGTCCTCCTCAGGAACACATACATCTAAATTAATTTCAAACTTTACTCCTCCCTAAAGAAAAAAATCACACACTTAAGTAATTTATTTTATCAAATAAAAACATTTAAATAAATGTACACAATTTATATGGGAGTACAAACTTGAAAAATTATTCTTGTATTGAAAATAACTTTTATTTAACAATATTTTTCTTCTATTTAACAAGATCAGAGTAGAACAAACTGGACAAAAGGAGACTTCTCTAAATATAGTTTATGGCTATTTTCAAAGGATTGCACCCACTTTTGATTTTAAGGAAAGGTGTCTTTGATAATCATTTAATTCAAATCCTTGCAATACACAGCAGTTGGTTCTTAGAGCTGGTTCTCAATGAGTATTAAAATTTGAATACTGTACTGCTTCTCTGCAATATTTCACAAAAGACCTTTAGTCCACTTCACAATGATCTTATGGTCAGAAACCTTCCTGGTATCATCTTATGTGCATTTCTATTCAATTCCCATCCCCTTCTAGAATTTAAAAAGCACCATAGAGAATAATGCTTTATAACAAAATGTTAGAAATTTAGCATACTGACTTCACTTAAACTTTGACTAAACTTGAGTTCCCATACGCTACTAGTGGAGTTTGGTATAAAGATGAGAGGTAGGGATTGATTACTGTCTGGGAATATCTAAAGGGAGCCTCCCTCAAATTATCAGAAAAGCTCATTTATTTTCTTATTGATTCTATCTTCTCATACAAACTTGCAAACAGTAGACCACTGTCCTGGGTTCAGCAGTAGCAGTCATTTTTCTCCTTCTTGGTAGCTGGTGCAGTGCAGTGTTTTGACTTTCAGCTCGGGAACAGAGCTGATAGCGATGTTTTGGTTTGGCCAAGGACTTTGTGATCCTCATGCTCTGCCAGGGAGGAGGGGAAGCCAGGACTAAGCAGAGACAGGACACCTGACCCAAACTGACCAAAGAGGTATTCCATACCACAGCACGTCATGCCCGGGATGTAACTGGGAGTTAGGCGGAAGGGCTGGGAGACTGCAGGGTTGGAGGAGGTATCGGTCGGTGCTTGGTCGGGCCTGGGGGGTGAGTTATCGGTTGGCTGGTGGTGAGGTGTTGTATTCTCTTCCCTTGTTATTTCCTTTATCATTGTTATTATTGGTGGTAGCAGTAGTGATTTGTGTTATACCTTAGTTACTAAACTGTTCTTATCTCAACCCGTGGGAGTTGCATTCTTTTCAATTCTCCTCTCCGTCCCTCCGGGAGCAGGGGGAGGGAAAGAAGTGGGGGGAAGTGAGTGAACAAATTGCCTGACTGGGTTTAAACCACGACAACCACTCCTGACTGACTCTCAGGTAACTTGATTTCCAGAGCTACCGTGATAACACAATCATTTGAAATGTACAGACATAAGAAGAAAATGGAAAAAAATAGAGCAGTAAGGATGGATACCTTTGTGTTGTGTTTCTTTTCTAAGATTTTTTGGTCTTGCATATCCTGGAGTCTGACTTGTTTAAAGGTTTTCTCCATGTCCTGGAAGGAGAAAAAAAGCCCAACTTTAAAATGCACTCTTTGGCACCAGAATATGTGTATACCCTGTGAAAAAAAAGACTTGTGTAAGTCATAAATTTAGTCACTGATTTCCTTGTACATATATTTGTCAGAATATTCCATTCTTTGTCAATTCTGGCTTATCTGGCAAAAATAAAAATAGGCCACCTTGCATAAAGTGCAAAAATGATATTTCAGAAACCTGTGTTTGGACAATACAGTACTGTGTCCAGAAATAAATGCTACATCTTTTATTTTTTATGATCATATTCAAAATTACTCAGGCTGAACAGTGCAGTCACCCTACACCACGTAAGGCAAACCCTGACTGAAGAATCCTGATAGCTAGATCAGAGCTGCCTTTTCTTCAGATTAGACTGGGAATTTGCAAACTGAGATTAATTTGCATCAATTCAGACTTTTATTCATTTCACTTGAAGAGAAGTGGACTTCTTGTTGCAGAAGGGCATGTGTCTGCAAAGATCATCTGGTGTTCACAATGCCAATATTGCAAAGTAAAAGTGGAATAATTCTGAAACTCCATTCCAGTAGCTGCTTTGGTAGTATTTGATGAGAAAGAAGCGAAGGAGTACTGTAGCTGGAAAGCTTTCACTCTGCCTCTTCCTCTTGCTTCCCCCAGATTTTTTGTTTAAGTAAGGACTCCACATAAAACTGGATTCTAACTTCGGACATGGTGCTACACTGGACTGTCATGAAGTGCTGTATTTTCTGCACAGAATTCTTGTAGAGGTTTGCACTGTGAGTGGCTTCTTCTTAAGTTCACTCAGAGAGCAAGGAAAAGAAAAATACCACAAAAAGAAATCAAGTAAAAGTACATCCTAACATTTACAGATGAAAAATAATTACCAGAACAACTCAGGACTCAGCCAAAGAAACTTTCCAAGCTACTCAAGAAGGAAACCTAGGGAGACTTTCCCACATGGTGGAAGGATCAGGTGAGATTTGAGCTTTACCACTCTTCAGATTTGTCACAGAGAGTGAATCAAAGACCTTTAAGGACTTGCACAAAAAATACTGTTTAGACTAGGAGATAGTACCTATACCTGAAGCGATTCTTTTCCTGTTAAAGCTGTATCCTCAGTTTCAGACTGGTCCTCAGCTTTCCCTTGCCTCACAAGATAGGTTTTATCTTGTATTTTTCGATTCTCCTAGGGAACATTTTTATAAAATTTCAATTTCTAATTAAGTGTACTGGCTTAAACAAGAAAAAGGAAGTACGAGTGTGTGTATGTTTGAGCTCTGTTACCTGGTACACTCCTGCTCTAACTCTGAAATCTTTTATATCGTGGTGGTATTCCTCTCGAATTCTCTGCAATTGTTTCAGGTACTCCTGTTATAAAACAGTGAGGTAGAACACGTGTATTAGAAATACATACAGAAATAACAGTAGCTAAACAAAATACTCTATGAATAGCACACTGTGTATGTATGAGAAAAAGGGATGTATTCTTTCCTGCCAATTTTAAAGACTGCTTGCTACTTCATATTAGAAGACATTTTTGAGTTATAACTTTTCCAGGCTTTAACCTTTTTGAAGCTTTTCAGACTATCTTGCTAGCTAACTGTAGAATTATATCTAAACCAGCTAATTCCAAGAATAACCTAAGGATTGTCTGATGCTAAGGTTGCAACTCAGAAAGAAAGGACTGGAAATCAGAAGAACAAAAAAATTATGTAGTACATTTTGTATCGCAACCTGCTCCCCGAAATGAAATGAAACCTGGAAATCTTTTATTCCAGAAGCATTCCTATGGATGCTCCTTCCTTTTTGCTTTGCTGCAAAACCTTCAAATTTGGCCAAAATATCATTTCTGTGTTAAGAACATCTCATTTTATGAAGAGTCATAACATAGTGTTTTATGAGAGTCTATCCTAATTTGCTCATCTTTCTTACAATTGGACTAATCTGTAAAATTTCTTCCTTTTTTTTGGCATATTTAGTACAGACTTTGCTGAACTAAACAGCAACAGTTGCTGAAGAATGTGTACATGATGAGTATATTGCTGTTCCAAAGTCTGACGATTATGTACAAGTTATTATATTCACCCTTATTTTGGCATTTTTTAATAAATCAAACATAGAAAGATTAAAAGTATTTATGTATGTTCATGTAAGAAAGAAGTGTCAGTTTGTTTTCTCTGTCACCCAAAAGCAAAACCAGGAAAATATATTGCTTCTGTATATAATAATCTCCCAAAGTTATAATATGCCAAGCGAAGTAGTATGCATCACATGGTATTATATCACATTCTAAATGTCATCATATGACTTATGAACAATGAATATACATAAATGAATATTTTATCTGATTTGTAAATATGAGGCTTTATTGTCCTCCAGCAATAGAGGATCTGTTGTCCTCTGTTCAGTGACGTAACTCCTCCGATCTCAGTCGAAGTGAAACTAAAATCAAGGCCATGGTTTATGTAATTTTTATGGACATCAACTTTTGTGCAAGTCTTCAGTAGTTTATGTAAGATGGAACCAGATAAAAACAGCTTACATTATCCTAGTGTTCAGATGGAAAAGAATCAAATCTGACATATAAAATGCTATTGTCAAGGAGTGTAAGAAGACATCTTTAAGCAGCTAAGGAAGATATTTCATTTACCTGTTCTTTCATTTCTTTCTTTCTAGATATGTCCTGCTGATGGTTTTTGAGATGTTCTTTCTTTACTTTCTGCTGCTCTATTTGGTCATGATACAGGTCAACAGAGGATGGTCGCAGTCCCTGTGGATGTACAGATATATCCCAGACAAAGGAATTCCTTCACTGCTCACTTAATTCAGTCTCCCTCTCCCACTGAAGAGTGAAGTAAGTCAAGTGTGTATTTTTCGAAAGAAAAAGTTACAGTAGAATTTTATATTGCTGCAGTTTTCTATTAGAAGATGAAACCTCAATATGGGTGTTGTGGAGCAGATCAGGGAGTTCGCTAGAGCAGAACTTTCTACCTGTCAGTATTACAGTCTGCTGTTAGAAATCCATCTTTTGGATTTTCATTCATTTCCTCTTACAGATTTTATTCTATGATTCAGTATTTACTTACCAGCTGTTTTTCCACTTTAATCTTGTACTGTTGAGCTTCAAAACGCCTTTGAAGATATTCTGCAGGCCTGAGAGATGTCCATATACTACATTTTATTTCACAGACTCACTATCTTCTGCACAAATAATTCTCTATAGGTTCTATCACATACAAAAAAAAACAGACCTCTCTTTGTACTACAAATATGGATAAAATGTGGATAAAATATGGATAAATATGGCACAACAGTAAAATCAGAAAAAGTAATCATCCATTTCAGGCATTCCCCTTCCTATGACTTCAGTTATATTTGCCTTCTGAAGAGTGCAGCAAAGTCGTTTTATTGATAGATGGTATGTGAAAGTGTTAATGAAAATAAAGATGGTGTTCCTGATCCTCAAAATAAGTGAAAACTGTCACAGTGGAGGTTGTATATTCAACTTTTCTATTTCTTTCTCCCCTGTTTTGTGGTTACTAAATATTTACTTTTTTTTTTTATACAATAATCCGCAGTCACTTGTAAGCTCCCTGATTTCTATTTGGTTTATTTCCTATCTTCGGAATCCATTTATGCCCCAGAAGACTTTGTCCTTAAATAAGGCACTAGAAACTCAGCTCAGACAAGATGTTCTAAAGCTTAACTGAAACATTCTAAACACAGTTGTCGTCATTGAATGAAAACTAACGATTTGGCCAACCTTGAAAGAAGTATCCAAAAGTGGGCAGTATTAAAGATACCTTACCTTCCTTTCTCAAGGTTTTCAAAACTCATCCACACCAATGGCCAATCTTGGAATGAACGGGCTATCTCAAATTTAATAAAGTACCTTTACTTCGTAAGAGAAAAGTTTTGGAGTAAACAAACTGCTAGAGAAAGGGGTGTTGCACCTGAAACTAAAATACAAGCTCTGGAGGGAAAAAAAAAAAAACAACATTTTCATGGCCTGCCTTTCACTCTGTTCCCTCAAGTGGAGAGCTGCTTGTGGTCTTTATATTGATCTGATCCCAGAGGGAAAGACAGTACTTATCCTTAGTACAATTAGAAAGTCTACAAAAAGCCTGTGTTTTACTTCTCACACAATAAAATGCTGAGACTGGGGAGACATTTTGATAATGAATGTCAAACATCAGGACAGTATATTCAGACGGCACCTCTGGATACACAGAAACAGGAGTTACGTTGTTGCACAATTAACCTTATGTAAGAAAAATAAGGAAGACTAAGCAAAGAACAATTATACTGGTTGATCCATGTCCAGTGTTATCTAATCAGGAAGGCTGATTAACTCAAAACATGCATGACAGTTCCCCACTAATAAACAGAGAAAAGTTTACCAGTCAAGTGCTGGTGGTGGAGGTGCAACTTGTCCTTTTAGTTTGTAATATTCCTCAACTCTTTGGCTGACATGAGAAAGCTCATAAGGTGCATTAGCCCTCCTCTGCAAGTTGTCAAGCTTATCATAGTAATGACCATAATGGCCATGTGCTCTAGTACTTTCTGGCTCCTCTGCCATCTTAAATCTGGAGGTCTGTGTCTGAAAATATAATAAAGCATGTTAATTTACCTGCCTTCATTTGCATCAGTACAAGCTTGAATTAACTTCCTGTCCTCCCCAGTGTAAGTTGCACAGTAATACACACTGGTATGGTATAGTTAGTGTAAGTTTTCCCAAATCCTTTCACATATAAACCAGAAACTTCCTAACTTTTCAGGGCTTTATAATCTTACAATTGTCATTCCCTTCTCCCCTGTTCCATCAACTCCTGTCATTAAGCAGCAGCCCATATTGTTGCGAGAGTCAATCAGCTTTGTACTCTGTAGTGTCATTGCCCTAGAGTCACTTAATTGTTCTGAAACTTAAAGCACTGTATTTATTTCAGGGAATCTCATTTTGATATGTGAGAGCAAAGGGAACCTGGGATGTAGTTTGGGGCAGTGTATGCATTGATTGCTGCTTTCAGGGGATGTAGTTTGGGGCAGTGTATGCATTGATTGCTGCTTTCAGGGGAGCACTGTGGTACTCCACCATCTCTTTCATTATATGCCTGTGGGAGCTTGCCTTTCATTTCTCAACATCCTTACTGTGAAGAAACATCCCTGTGTTTCCACTATCTCTTCTATTTGTCATAGAAACAATGGAGAGAAGGTGCCACTGCATGGTATAAGCATGGTAAGGCATTCACAAACATTTCCATGGTAGAAACACTATACGGTGTATGACAAAAATGCTGAATTTTGCTTATTTTCTTAAATAAATTAAAAAACATCTAAGTATCCCATCCACAGATGATAAACACAGTAACTATTCCTCCCTGCTTTCCCTTTTAGAAACACTAAAACCAGGCTTATCTACCCATGGTATAGTCCAGATTACAGTAGAATATAAATTCCTATCTTTGTAAGAAAATTTTCCACTGGCAGTAATGTTCCCAAGGAAGAGGTAACCTCAAAAAGTGTTTATCTTATCCCTTATTGAAATAAGTTTTACAGGATGGCATCCAGAAGTATGGCAACCCCAAGCAATAGGGAGTACAAATCAGGCCATCCGAATAAATGTAAAAGGATTGAGAGGACTGAGAGCTATGACCAGTGGAGCAGGTGCCCTGGTGACTCAGGCCATGTAAAAGCCTGGGGCACTAAATGCCTTTTTTGCCTCAGTCTTTATTAGCAAGACTGGCCTCCAGGAATTTCAGGCCACTGTGACCAGGGTGGGGAGTCTGAAGCAAGGAAGTTGTACCCTTGGTGTAGAAGTATCAGATTAGAGAATACATAAGCAGATTGCCTTGCCTTCTGAAGATGATTAAATATTATGAGAATGTGGATGCACAGTACCTGAAAAATAGGCTGTTGCCCTCTTGAAGGAGGTTTCAATTCATTTCTCTGAAATAATTCCTGTTTCTTGACAGGCACCACCATTCCAGATTCTGGAGAAACTTGGTCCTGGGCTCTCCTTTTCTGAAGTTTATCTGTTTTTTAAGAATAACATATGAAAAGGTTCTATTTTGTCTTCTCTATATGATTAGTGATCATGTAGTTGCAAAACACAGTAATGTGCTTATACACAACAGGTTAGGCTAACAAGCTGTCCTTTCACCATCACCACTATGATCATCATGCTTCACACCTCCTAGGAATTCTGCCTTTCATTCTTAGAATGACAGGCTTTTGAAAGCATTATGATTTGTCACACTCATGTAAAGTGTATCTTATTGACTAGTTTTGCAAAGCACACTGAATAAAAAGGAGACATCTATAAACTAAACCACTGATTTCATGCTAGTACCAAGAACAGAAAACAGGAGGTCTGATTCATTGGAGGCTAGGTGACTACCTGCTTAGGCATTCCCTTTCTAAACCTTGGTATTTTATAAATCACTAGAAAACGTTACAGTACTTGTGAAATTTGGAAAGAAGGGAGAAAAGTGAAAAATTCACCTTGTCAGTTCCCCATGTAGGAGAGTACAATTATACCATTCCCGTTTGGTCAGTCAGTATTCTGCAAATACTTAAGCTGCAGTAAGGAAAAATAGTGTCTTTGCTAGCATGAAGTCATTTCTAACTGAGGTTTAAAACTTCCCTCAGTAATGACTGTGAGAGTATCATGTCTGGGAGATAAAATATATACAAATTATGAGTAATATATGACCATAGATATTTTTAAAAATTACTGATTTAGATGTTCAGGTGCCTCTGTCTAAATTGAATTAGTCCTGAAGGCAGATAATTGAAAATAAGCTGCAAAATAACATGGGTTCCTACACTACAAAAGAACTTTTTTTTTGGAGGGGGAGGAGGGGAAAGTCCATAGTGTAGTAAAGTAACTACATAGGTTTATTTTCACAAATCCATTTGAACTGCTTTGATATCCAAAGATAAATTTAAGGAATAATTATGACATACTGAAGAATATAAAATTAGGAAAAGGTCATGCTCCCAGAACTATGCCAGATGTTCAGCAGTTCATACAGAGATAGAATTTAGTCTCATTCATGTTTTCTAAGAATGTACATACATAATCTGGTCTATCAATGAGCACTAAATCCAAATAGAGTTAATTGTCCCTCCCAGTTTAATCTAATTTATAATATTTTGTAAAATATTTTTATTATTTTGTAAAAACATGTTTTGCACAGATTTTTGCATTTTTGCACATAGCTTGGTAAAATTAAGTCAGGATATTTTTCATGTGACAGACCTAAACTGCATCTAGACCAAAGCCTCTCAGTTTTGTAAATTTTATTCTTAAAAGAATTAAGCCTAATGTTTCAGCACTTTCCCACAGCAGCTTTTCTAGCTGAAAGCTGCTAATGAGTTAGTCTTAAAGCTGTCTTTTCCTGAACAGGACAGTGATGCACTGTCTGGTGTGTTTCCTCTCTTGCACTTCTCAATTTTTATGTTTGTGCAAAACTCTTGTATAAAAATGTGCAATAAAGGCTGCTGGAAAAAGTTATAGCCATCACATGCATCATAACTAAGAAATGCTAGTGTAGAATTAATGTTAAATAATACTGTCATTACCTTGTATCATCTTGGCTCCAGACTGTGATGCTGAAGGACATTTTCTATGTATCACAGTGTGACTGAGTTCTTCCTGTATTAGCTATGAGAAAAAGTATCTGATTGATAGAACTGTTTGTACTTCTTCGATGCAGTGTTCCCTCAGCAAGCAGCAGTACAGGCACTTACCTCAGGGGGCAAATACCTGAGAATGAGCTTCTGCAAGAAGGGCTTCCTTAGAATAGAATTAATAGATGGTCGATCTCTTGGAGATACTTTAAACAACTGGGAAATTAATATCCTCAGATCATATGAGTAGTTCGGAGACACTGGGTGAAAACGGCCTCTGCAAATCTTCAGCATCAGCTGGTGCAAACTATTGCCTTCAAACTTAAAATGAAAACAGTAAGAAGAGGACAGTAAGTACTGTTGGTTGGAAATGATGGACTAGACACCCGAACTTGAAAAAACGTTCTTGCTGACAGAAGCCCTGTGCTATGCAATCTCCTCATACTTTCTTTCTTACTAACTATAGTTTGCTGTGTAAAATTAATATATCCACTATCTGATTGTATTTTCTGATTACATTCTCCTTGTTTCAATTGCACAACTTAGAAGGTCCAGCAGCTTTTGGACCTGGAAAAGTTTTATTCCTACTATGCTGTCATACAAGAACAGAGAAGCAATTTTTCCAGAATGAAACAAGTTTTATTTTACTAAAAGCTGTCAACAGAGACCTGCATACATAGCCTTCACCTTCAACCACACATAGCGTTCACCTTCAAAACCTCCCTCTGCCTCTGCATTCTGTGTTCTCCCAGGCACTGATCCTGATTTTTAACAACTGAAGCCACTCAGATAAATCAGCACTCTGAATTCAGATCTCTTCATAGTTCAGCAAAAATAATTTTCAAAGCAAATTCTCATTTTATTGACATGGCTGTTTTGAAGGAAGCGTTGCCAAAATTTGCCTTAGCTTCACTTGCGTTTCCTGTCCACATCAGCATCTGGTCCCTGCCTTCAAATAAATGGGCAGCAATACAGAATAAACCACCTAATATTTGTAAGAAGTAACATTAGTGTTTTCTCACTTTGTGAAATCTGAAATTTTCCTCCACAGTACTCCCTTGCTCTCAGGTCAGCACAGCTGCTGTCCCTATTAGTACTGTTCTTCCTTCTTCAACATCCAAGCTCAGTAAATTGTCAGCTTCTGCTTTGTGCAGGACTGACCCTTTTCCTATTGTTGGGATTAGTCTTCGCTGTGTTTCCTTCTCCACATAATACTCATAGGCTGAGAATTATCTGAGCATCAGATCAGGCTGAGGAAAACACAGCTTCCTGAAAATACTATGTTGGTTATATTCTGACATGAAAAAATATGTTTAGGAAAATGCTTCTGGGGACACAAACTGCTTTCTGGGGGAATGTGGGTTTCAAACTCTTTAATACATACAGATTGCTAATTTTAAATAAAAATAAGAAAAATTATATGCCAAAATCCTAACCTTGAAGTTTGGCTTTAGTTCTTTTTATTGTTCATCTGCCTTTTGAAAGATTTTAGTATTTATTGAAATACTAAATATATATTTGATGTGTGTATACACACACACATATATGCAAGTTGCAGAAATGCAGTATAATGCTTTGTACTTTAATATGCACAAAACAGACACACTGAAAAATTAAGCACTAGCAGTCATTCTTTAATATCAATAAATAAGCTGAAAGAAAGCCTAACAGCTGACTATGAATACTATTATTACTATAGTTTTTCTAGGCTGTCCACTACCTGTTTCAATAGTATGATAATGATTTGAATCTCTGATACTTACAGGATGCTTTAGCGCACATAGCTCATAAAGCACACAGCCGAGAGACCAAATATCTCTGTGAATAAAAAGGAATTAAAGTTTCAAGGAAAAGACTATAATATTTCCATACATGTAATCAGTACGTCTTCTCAGCTCTCAGTTTTATTAACATTATTGCATCAGAGATTAATAGTGGTGCAAATTTTAATTTTTCTTAAGATGCACTGAAAAGAACAACTGGACATTTCTTTTTAGCTGTGGTACCAATGTTTCTATGATACCTAACTACATACTGCCATTATCATTGGAAAAGGCACATGATGTAAAGAATACCTGCTTCACATTCCTAGCAGGATGAAGGGCAAAGCTATCTCCAGCTGAGTTGCTAGATAAGGAGACAATAAGGTAGTAAACTTGTGTGAACAGCAATTAGAGCTGAAATGCTAGTCTTGGCTCCAGAACATTTGGTGTTCATCACACCTCCCCCCCACACACACAGAGAAAAGGGTGTAGCTCAATCACCTCCTGACTTTTCAGTGCTTCTCATCTGGTATTTTGTGTTAAGCCTGGGTAAGCCTTTAAAATTCTCAGACATATTTGTCATTCCTGCAAGTAGCTACTGTGGAGTTCCAGAATTGCCAACCTAGCAGCTTTCCTTCTAGTGTATTTTTATAAATTACAAGTAAGTGTACCAAAAATTCACGACCTTGGAACTGAAAAAATCCATACTTGCATTGGTCACTACATGTTGGAAACACAGAAGGAAATTTAGTATTTGATGAAGAACCAGATAAAGCAAAGGAAAAAAAAATAATCTACTTTACATTTCACACCACTACTAACAAGGAGTATTAAAAGAGGATTAGATTTAAGTTTAAAGTACAAGTAATTTTATAAAAACAAAAAATATATTTATGTTAAGCCTTTAGATGAATCATAACAGATTCCTGATTATTCTAGACACTGTGAGTTAAAATATTACTGAGTGTTGTACAGTATAACACAGTTATTGTATATTGTACACAGTAATACAAGACTTCACAAGGGTGACACATGAAATTCCCAGTGCCCTGCAAAATACTGATTTAAACCATGACATTGCTAAAATAAGTTATCTTGTGCCTGCATGCCCTCACACATAAGCATGTGAAGGAAAGACAGAGACTTACGTTTTATTGTTGTATGGTTGATTTTCACAGATCTCAGGTGACAGATAATAGGGGGTCCCTACACAGGTATGAGCAAACTCTGTAGTGCTAATGAAATACAAAGAACAAAAATGTTTATACACGGAATACATCCTATACCTAACAAAAGTCCAGTTGCTAGAATCAGAATAGTTAGGGCTGGAAAGGAACTTAAGATCATCTAGTTCCAACCCCCCTGCCATGGGCAGGAACACCTACCCTAGACCATGTCACCCAAGGCTCTGTCCAACCTGACCTTGAACACCACCAGGGATGGAGCATTTATCACTTCTTTGGGCAACCCATTCCAGTGCCTCACCACACTCACAGTAAAAAACTTCCTCCTTATACCTAACCTAAAATTCCCCTGTTTAAGTTTAAACCCACTGCCCCTTGTCCTATCGCTACAGGCCCTGATGAAGAGTCGCTTCCCAGCATCCTTGTAGACCCCCTTCAGATATTGGAAGGCTGCTCTGAGGTCTCCACGCAGCCTTCTCTTCTCCAGGCTGAACAGCCCAAACTTTCTCAGCCTGTCTTCATACGGGAGGTGCTCCAGCCCCTTTAGCATCCTACTAGGCTAGACACATCTCTTATTTCATGGCATGTGTTAGCATAACAGAAAAATCATAGTGTCAGGCATTTTGTTTCCCAGACCTTTTGAACAAGCCCAATCCACAAGCAATTTGCATACTCAGGTTACATTCAGACTGCTCATAACCAGCCCTACCTAGTGTAGGTCACAGACTAATTAAAAAAGGTGCTTACCTGTTCAACTGTCTTGCTATGCCAAAGTCCCCAAGCTTTGCTACCTTTCCATTATTGCTAAGGAAAACATTCTGCAAAAAACCCCAAAACTCACATGTGAAAATTAAACATGGCAGAGCTTCTTAAGCATATTTTTTCAAGACAAAAAGTACGCCCTCTCAGTACCAGTTTTACTACCTGTGCTTTTACATCTCTGTGTAAAATCTTCTTGTCATGAATATGCTTCAAGCCCAAAGAGATCTGCACAAACCAACTCAGAATCTGGAGTGGAAGTTAAAGGGAAAAGATACCTATAAATTCACGTGAATTTAACGTCCAATAGGGCATCTTACTGAAATACATTAAAAAGATACGATAAAATCTAAAATATGTAGAGCATATACATGTAAAATATCAAAAATAATATTTTTACAATTAATGCCATAGACTTTTCCTTTCCTTTTTTAGTGCTATCACAAAACTAAACAGAAAGAGATACCTGTTCCACTTTCACCACCCCCATCAGGTTTTCACTGGCTGCGACAGGACAAGTACTTGAACAAAGACTCGCATCAAAGAATAGAAAGAATACTAGACCTTTATTTAGAGATGAGGGAGTTCAAATAACAACTAAGACAGAATTGAGAAATGTCTTCTTAATCCACAGTGGCAGAAGTCATACCACCCAGTTATCACATTTGTACACTTACTAAATGTGGTTCACTAAAAAACAGTATGAGTGGTGACCAAAGGGAGCTATGAAGATACCTGTATACTAAGTAAGCACAAAGGTTCATCCTTTGTTGTTGACATAGAACAGCTCTTAAACATACATTTAATATACATGTGTTTTATTGCACAACGGCATTCGGACTTAATTTGGAAACAAAATTACAATGTGATTATATGCTTCTCTATTTAGGAAAATTGATGGTCATGAAAGACTTTGATTCAAGTAATAATCTCCTATTCAGTAATGCTTCACATAAGCGTATGATTTCCTGAATAGGGATGATGCCACATTTCTTAAGCATACATTAGAAAATATGAAGATATTTTAATGACATAATGTTATATTGGGTAATTTGCTTTCCTTTCATAATTAGCAAATGCTATCTTTAGTTTCTATAATCTGTTTTTATGTCCATACTTCATTTGCCCTTCTTTGAACATATATTATTTTATCTCATCGTCAAGGGCATTGCGTGTATTGGTTTTCTCTTGTGTTTTCATGATCTGTAGTTTTGTCCTATCTTTATTTTCTCTCATGTTCTCCCTACCTCTAGTGTGACTCCCAATAGGATCTTAAAATTCATTATTACTGAAGTAATTCACTTCCAATTGGCTTCTACAGTAAGGAGTTCCTCTTTTACAACTGAAGCAAAAAGAAGAGTCACAATACTACTTCCTTTTTTTTTTCCACTTCTGTGCTTTAGAGTATATTTCCACTAACAGACTGGATACTATTTATGTAGCTTCTACATACATTTTCATTACGGCTACAAAAGTAGAAAACTATGCATGATTAAATAACCTCAGAATTCAGTACACTAAGTCAAATACATAAGAGAAAATTTCCTTCAGAAAGCTACATTACCATTTAAAAGATAGTCTTTATGGCTTATTGAGTATACTACAAAGAAAAAGTGCAGCCACAATGGAAGGAGCAGTGAGAGGAAAGGGGGATAAAAAATGTCATCAAAATTATAGTAATGAATTAACTTAAGGTCTTAAAGTAGTATAAAAAGCAAGCTGTAAGATTCCATTAAAATTACCAGTTTCTTTAAAACATTCAGTTATTTTAACAGGCCAGAAAAGAAACAGTTGCTAGTACTGGATAAATCAAACCATGTGTTTTACATAGTAAGTCCTTTCCTCTAAAGAGAAGTTCTTTTACCTGGTCCTCGTCAAACAGCACTCCATGCTGCATATTTATCCGCATCATTAAGTCTCCACCATCACAGTATTCCATCACAATATAAAGCTTGTTCTTTTCTGAAAAGTACAATTTTTCCTTTATTACTCATTAATACAGCAATAAATTATTTTTATTTTATAAGGTACTTGTTTCAAACAGGGGTAGCTAATCTTCTATCTACTCCTCCCTTTCAAAGAGTAAATGAGAAAAAATGGATACTTCCAGTGAAGCTTGATGTAAAAACTAAGACACAAAAATATATTTAAACAGAGACTTACCAAAATATTAAATACATGAGAAAACTCCCAAGAGACCACACTGATAGAAAGACAGATGTTCTTACAGGCAATGCTTAGCATAATGCTTCATAGTTGGGATTGTTCCCCAATAATTACTAAGTATAGAGTTAGGCTTAGGGGAAAGGTTAGAAGCAGACAGTGTCCAAACAGTAGAAATAAACAACAGGGACTATTTTATATGGAAAATCACCCTATTCTTACCACTCTGAGATCCAGAAAACTACCAGATTTATGTGTCCCTTCAAAAATTTACAGTCCTGATCACAGAAAACAATCTGAACACAAACCATAACATTAATTACATAAGGCATTGCTTATGACAGCCATCAGCAGGAAAAATAAATACAGGGAAATAGCTCTTATGGAGAACAGACTTTGTTCTGTCTCTTTCAGTCCTGAAGAATTCTGTATCCTTGAGTGATCCCTCAAAACATTGCTTAAGAAAACAGGCCAAAAGGACTTCTTTCTTGCTATACTCAAAAGCTCTCTTCTTTTATTGACTCTCCCAAAAAATTCTCATTAAATTCTGGAGTCCTATGACGATCAAGACTAAAGTTCAGCTTAAACTATGCAGACACTGCAGAATGTAGCATTTATGCCATGATACCTTAGGTCTCCCACACACACATGAAGAGGGCAAGTGATGACTGAATTTGTTACCTCATGGTCACTTTTAGGACTTGGAACCTGTCCCCAGTGGTAAGTAAGAGGTTGAGGATAGGCTTAAGTTTGGGCAAAATTAGGAAGGTTGGTTTCGCTCCTTTAATCACAAATCAAACAAAAATTTTAAGAATAAACCTTGCAAAGAAGCATAGAAGGTTACAATATTTGCATGCTTCATCTTGGCCAGAAGAATTACTTCTTTCTGAGAGGCTTCTTTTTCTTTCACAGGCATCTGCAAAGAATTAAGAAACTATATGCTAGCAATGATATATTTAATTCTTTTCAAAAACAGTTACATTGTTATCAAACCATTTCCACAAATACGAAAAGACAGTGTACCAAGGTGATTCAAAAGCAGGTGAATGCTTGGAAACATACTGGAAGGAGCAAAGTCAAGCCAAATTATGACATTATACAAGCAGGCAAATGTCTGCCTTTAAACTTTTTATACAAATGCTATTACTAAGCCAGCTGATGGATAGAGTTCAACCCTGAAGTTGAACTTCCTTTAAGTACTTGAAGAATAAGGATCTAGATGACTGTATTTCTAATATGGGTGATCTCAAAAGAATAAAAAGACAAAAAGTTCTTCATTTTACTGGTGTTACAAGTTTTTGTAACATTTTGGGCAAACTTTGCCCTGTTATGTTAAAAGGAAAACTATTTGGCTCATTGTGATCACATTTTCATCAATATAAGTTCTTAAAAATTCATGTCTCTCAGTATCCAACCATCAAAATGTCCTCTTACATTTATAATAAGTTTCTTAACCTCAGGAAATTAAAAGGTTTAGATAAATGGATCACAGGATTGTGATTTGTTATTTCAGTGGCAATAGTTTCATTGCAGTTGAATCCTTTACAATAAAATCTGAATTAGATAGTGTCTGGCATTGAACATAGAGAAAAGTTTTTGAAAGAACAAAAACGAGTAAGAAGTAAACACAATTTCAAAATATGTATTTCGTCTATGCTTGTAAAATCCTTATATTAGCACAGAGTACAGTCTTCAGAAAGTTTAACTCTATATAATGAAGATAGAACTACAAAGGAAATAAAATATAACCCAAGTTCATACCCCTGCTGAATGCAATTAATCAGGTAAATAACTGCTGTTACCATCTGGGGTTTGTTGTTTTACCTTAGTTAAATCGATCTCTTTGATAACACACTGCTCATTATCCACTTTTACTTTTGCCAAGAATATTTTGCCAAAAGATCCTTCTCCAATTTTTTTAATGATTTCATATTTATCCATGATGTCTTCACCTTAAAGCAGTGGCTAAAACGAAGAAGTCCCCAAATTAGTATAGCACAATTAGTGCTCTAAGAGTCATTTGTGCTATTGAAATAGACACTACCTTTTAAAACTATCATTTTTATCACTGCCTTTTATAGTTTATCAAATTTTTATTACTGCTACTGATCCTTCCTAAAAATGTCATCTCCTGGAAGTCTGCAAATTATTGTGGATCTGAACTTTCAATAAGCAGCAAGTTTACGAGTGTCTCATAAAGAGAAGCTTGAAGCTTAGTTTTAGTACACCCTAAAGTTAAAACACGAGGCAGTAGAAAGTACTATGTGAGATTATATGATTTTGGGACTCATTATTTCCTGAAGTTAACAATACTGTAGATTTGTTCTTTTAATGAAGGAAAAAAATTAAGTAATGTGCTATTTCATGTTGATTCAGTTGAAACTGATGTGATCTAATGTTGGCAGCAAGATGAACAGCCACTGCGCTCTGCAGGGGACCATAGCCAAGTGCAGTTGGGCACCAGCAGTCCTCTGGAAGCCGCTGACAGAAATGACAATGTCACCAGGTACCTGCAACATATCCATACGCAAACCTACACAGCTAAACATAAGCAAACACTTTAAACTGTTCTTATTGGTTGGCCTGACTTTTAGAAAGGGAGGTTTGCTAAGATCTAGGCTTTTCCTGCCAGGAAGGCCAGGCAACCTCGGGAGCCCGTGCAGGCTCTATGACAGGCGTTTCCTGAGGGCCACTTCGAAGCGCTGGCAGGCTGACCCTCAGGCAGTTACAGTTTAGGTGTTTGGGTCCAAGCCAGCTCCTGTTCGCAGTCGCGGGTGAGAAGCAGCACCTCGGCACAGCTGGGCCTCTCACACCGAGCCAGGGTGCGCTGCGCTCCACGGCCTTGCCCCTCACCCGCCCGGCTGCCCGCAGTACAGCAAGGAGCCAAGGCAGGCCCCGGGCGCGGCTCGACAGACGTCACCCGCCGAGGTGATGGTGGAGGCGGCCACCGCCTCCCTCGCAGCGGGACCTACACGCGGATGGTGGTGTACAACCTCCTGCTCTGGGGCTGCGGGACCGGCACCGCGGGTGGCCGAGGGAGGGGAATCCACCGGGGGTACCGCCGTACTCGCCGCGCTGAGGAATCACGCTCTGCCGCTCTCCCCGCCCTGGCTGTGGTGCCGTCACCATGGCGACGAGGCGCGCCAGGCGGGCAGGCCTTGTCTGGGCCTCTCGTCCTTGTGGCCAGGCCCGGCTCCGGGAGACGCGGTACCCGCATGCGCTCGGCCGCGTTCGGAGCCCCAGCGCCCGGAGGAGGAGCGCTCCCCGGACCCTCACCCCCCCGACGGAGGCTGGCGTTTGAAGCGGCGCAGCGGCGGAGAGCAGGAGGAGCGCTATTTCCCTCAGGCAAACCGCAACCATCTCCCTGCTTCGGGTGGCCAGTAACAGGAGTTGGGTGGCCCAAAAGAAAGGCCCGACTGCCTTGAATGCTCGGCGGAGCCTCACTTACCAACCTACGTGCAACAACTGATTTTCCTAAATCGAGTCTGTCTTGGCGGTGACAGTAGCTGGTAAATGATCTCTCCCTGTCCTTGACCCACAACCCTTTCATTGCATTTTCTCTCCCCTGTCCAGCCGAGGAAGGGAATGATAGAGCATCTTTGGTGGGCACCTGACATCCACCCGCCGCGATGTAGTTTTTCAGTACATAGTCAGGAAGAAAAACTTCACATATTCGCATAGTGTTGCACTATCTCTTTGAAATACAAGGGGGCAATCAGAACAGCACTATTAGCACTAACGCTTTTAGCCTGAACATTTCTGCAGTTCTCTTACCAACTCCAGATACATTTGATATCTAGATTTGCTTAGTTATTATGCAAGTGTTCTAGGTAAAAAAGTTGTCTATGCATTTTACACCCTCAGTTTTGTGATACAGAAAAGACTGAAATAATTTAATGACCACAACTATTAACAACAATAATTTAGATTACAAATACTGGCAAGCCTAACTTCACTTACTGTAGGTAAATCTGAGCATTCAGTCACTGTGTTTCAATAACATTTTCAGAATGGCAACATGTTTTGAAAAATATACTCAGTATAGCTGAGCCAGTCTGTGCTATAATGTACCCATAGGTGATGTCTTGGCCACTGAGACTTAATTTTCATCACCTGAAATCTCACAAGGACTCTAAAAGCTAGAATTATGCCCAGACTAGATGTTTTCAACAGGCTGTTGTGGAAACAATGTCCCTGAAGCAAAGAAAATGCATTAATTTTTTGCAGTATCCCAAAACATAGGAAAACAGGAGATGTTTTTCAGTTGGTTTTGTTTTTGACAGAGCTATAAGGTAATCCACTTTGGAACTAAACTGAATATGGAAAGCATCAGAATGTTACACTGCAGGGTTTTCTTGTGCACTTCCTACCAATCTGAACACAGGTGACAGCTGATTTAGTAGGCTGATCTATTGATTAGCATACTAATGATTTTCCATATGAACTTTTCTATAATACGGAACATTCTAAAATACTAAAACACAAATACTGCACTTATATTTGGATAGTTACCCTACTTTCTTTTTATTTGAGCTTCCACCAGCCACAGCATTGCCTGATATGTTAAAGAACAGGTTCAAGAGTTAATACCTTTAGCAAACATTTGTGGTAAATTGGTATTGCAGTGGTATGACAGCACCACTGACCAAGCAGTAAAAATTATGTGAAAGCTTCTTCACACTTCTGTCAACATAGCTCATTCTCAACAGGGGGTCCCTCTATACTCTTCAATTCCACATGCATACAAATTTTTGGTGTAGCTAAATTTATTCAGAAGAAAGAATCTAATATTCTCTCTAAAAGTTAAATTATGAAAATAACTTGCTTCACCATATTCTGGGAAAGAAAACACTGTTCTATTTAACATATATGCAACACCTAAAAGTTTTGATTATTTTAAATTTATAAAGTTTAATTCCAGCACAAATCTTAAGACTTACAATGTATGTACTGCAGCTTTGCACTGTACTCATGTTGGAATATAATATAGACCCTTCAAGTATTTTTCCATACATGATTGTTATTAGATTTTAAAATAATTAAAACTTGAACATATAATACTAATCCTTTCTAGCTGTATTTAAGGTCTTACAATTTCTACTCATTTTGTCATTCCTTCTATCACCAAACAAGTTGCTCACTTACCCTTTGGTCTTACTGCCTTGCCTTCATGTTTTGGGTATTCCGTACAACAGCACGTCATGCCTAGTATATAAACTGGAGGGAGTTACCTGGAAGGGATCAATCACTGCTCAGGTCCAGCTGGCTATCGATCAGCAGGTGGCAAGCAATTGTATTGTGCTTCACTTGTGTTTATTGGTTTTATACTTTCCCCTTTTAGTTGCATATTCTCACCCCCTATTATTTCCCTTATTATTTATAGTATTATATTGTACTTTAGTTATTAAACTACTCTTATCCCATGGGTTTTACGTCCTTTCAATTCTCCTCCCCATCGCACCCAGCAAGGAGGGAAAGGGCTGAGCAGCTGTGGTATTGAGTTACCAGCTGGGTTTAAGTCATAAACCCTGGTCAGCACATGAACCAGAAAATGCAGCAGTTAATCTTCCACAACAGAGAACCAGAAGGCCCTGCTTAGACCATGTCCTGAATTGGACACATTTAATGTGTTACTCCTTTTAGTACTGCAAGTGGATGCTTGGACTAGCATGTCAGTGATCAGGATTCTTATAGTGCAATAGTAAACTTTGTTTTCTTGTCAGATGCATCCTGTTATATGCAAAGAGCTTGTTCCTTCTGCAAATAGAATATTCTAGCTAGCCATAAGACAGATCTGTTTAACACTGAAATCTGAATACTCAGGTAGGATTTAAGCTACAGTTCATGTAAATGCTGCATACTGAAGTTATGAAAACACTCAGCATCTGCAGAATATGAAAAATTCTGCTCTGACAGTTCACTTAAGAACAGACTAAAATAATGTTCAGAATTCCAGTCTCAGGCCTATAGCTATATTCTATAGCCATTAGTTTCCAACCTAAAGCCCATAAATAAAGAACAAATACAACTCAGTTGATTAATTTAATAGGTCTACCACATTACAGACTAATGCAAAACCAATATTAGAACAGTCACATAGTAATGAGTGTATCAGACCTTAGCTAAAACAACACAACAGTTTAAATTTAGTGTTCACCTTACTAGCTGGTTTCAGTTTTAGAAACTAAATGTTGTAGTAGACATTGCCCTACTGGAATGACTATGTTATTATTGTTTTTTAAGCTAAAAGTTAGATTGTGCAATGCTAAAAAATTTATAGGAATTGCAATAGGGAAACAGTAGGTATTAGCAATATACTACAACCTGTTATGTGAAGTGTTATGCCTACTCCTTAATTCAGTATTTAATGAAGCATATTTAACATGAAGACATTGATGTTTATGAGTACTAAACCAGACCAGATTTGCCAAGATTTTGAAAAGGCAGAAACTTGCAAATTCAAAAGTTTTGTGACTCTGGCAGTATAATTTCATCTTAAGTGATCTATGCAAGTTTCAGGTAGCTCCTCTCAAAGCTGCTAAAAACACACACACACACCCCCCACCCCCCCCCCCCATCTTCTTAAAAAGGATCAATCTTTAACCCCCATGTAGCATTAATGCTACTTTTTACTCTACTTCAGCACTTGTCTCTTCAATCACATTGCTCTCTTTGTGGACAAATGCAGTGGCTTTTGATTCCAGTTCTCCTAGCTGTTCAAATGAAGAGACACGTGGATCTTGATCTTTAACTGTATCTGACAGCTTGCACATCTTCTCTCGAATACGCTGAGAATATCGCAGAGGGGTTACAATTTTCAGGTCTTTAGCACTGGAGTAATTTTCCTCATGGTGCATCTTCACACTTGGGAAAAGAAAAAAAGAAATTATCACTGAACATAGGCACACCATCATATAAACTATCTCTGTAGCATCTAGCAGGTGCTAGCAAACAGCAAATCATGATTCCCATTTACCCCATTTCCATAGCCGAAGGAAACAGGCTCTTTCCCAGTCATACAGTTAAAACAGATACACAACTCTTCTTGGGAAAAATATTTTCAGGGAAAATTCCTGAAATGAGTTTCAAAAGGAAGATTACCTCCTATTCCAGCAGGGGGGAACTATTCTTCCTGCTATGAGGAACAGCAGACAGCTAATGGAAGTCCATCTATAGCAGATGCCCAAGCTGAGCACAACTTTAGGTCTGCAATCTTAGAAGAAACTTTGTGGCAAAAAGAGAATTTAAATATAGTCTGTTTTGTCCTGAGATTACTACCAAGATTTTTACCTCAAGATACAATTAAGAACCATTACAGGACAGTTACATCTTGTTCATTTCCATGTTATATGACATCTAACCACATCTACGTTTGAATAGGGGAGGACTAGAGTCACCTTTATTTTTACCTATCTTAGTGTAGAACTGCTACTGCCATGTTGCCTCTGGGAGGGGATTCTAATACTGGAATTTATGTCTCTGCCACAGAGGTCGGATTATTCTATAGTGAGGCATTCAAATAGCAAAATAGCTTGAATAAGGAGGAATTTATTTTTAAAAAAGACTTCACCCTGAAGGAAGAAGAAACAATCATAAAAAAAACACCCCAAACCCTTAAATTCTTGAAAGCTTTTAACCAGGTGTTCATAGATGTGGTGCCTCCCTGTTTCAAAAGGACAAAGTGTCTGTTACCCCAGACACTGCAAGTTTTCCATAGTGACCTGAAGTAATCTTACCTTTCCAAGTGCGGAGTGGTAGGTTGACTGCATCTCATTATAGAAGATGTGTCATTCTCCTTCTCAGGAGTATTAACTGTTTGGACTATATCTTTCAC